CAATGGCACCTAACAACAACAATCTTTACAGAAGCAGACTGCCCCATCTTTCTTCCATGGAGTGGCTGGTGGGTTCAAACTACCTACATTTCTGTTAACAGCTGAGCATGTAACCACTGTGCCACCAGGGCTTCTCATATACAGGCTGCCAATTCAGAGAAACCATTCAGAAAAGGGGTTGCGGTGGTGCCTTACCTTTCTAAACCTAAGGAATGTAAAGGACCAAATAAACCACTTTATTTCGTGCGACTATTTCAAAGCAGCATGCTGAAATGTTGTCATTAGCTGCTGTCAGTCGGCTCCCAACTCATGGTGACCCCATACAGGAGGGAATGAAATGCTGACAACCTACAGATACATGTCGACAGTAAAGATTAAGTCATTTAACTGTAACTGAGAAGTGAAATCATTTCACGTTTATGAATACTTCTAATCCTGTCACAGTCTGACTGAGAAAGAGAAAATTCATTAGCCATTCAAGGCAGGTCGCCCAGAAGGGTGGGATACACTATCCCATTTCAAACTTAATTCAGGGTAAAATGTGTATAACCTGAATATGCATCATATTTTTATTCTTGTGTTTAAAATATATCTTTAAAAAGATCCAACATCCCACAATATACTCCTACCACTTAGACTACGTGTCCTTTCTTCTGAGTAATACACCAACTCTGAATAGATTAACTTCAAAATAAGTTCAGCAGTTTGTTACAGTAAAATTATTCCGTGGAAAATCTTTTGGGCAACTCCTCACATTAACTGAACTAAAATTTAGCCCTATATTTTTATAGATGGCCTTAGTGCTTAGGCTGAAGTCTAGAAAAATAAAATGACTTATACAGAGTCCTTTAGCCAAAATTGGACAAAAGTTTTTGCCTCAGCTCTTCTTCAGAATGGGGTACTTGATCACGGAAAGAAAGTCAAGCAGAATTAGAGGCGTATGGGCACAAACTCTGTTGGTCCCGTGCATGGATAACCAGCACAGTCTAGTGCCGTACAAATGTTGAAATGAAGGCTGCTCTGATCCATATGAGAAGCAAAGCCATTGTTATACACAAATTAGAACACATATAAAGTTGCCTTTTATATAAAATTCTGGCAATAGCGAAACTTTAGTAAATACAGCTCCACACCTCCTGCTGAAAATCATTTTGACACCTTAATCTACAGAGCCCTGGTGGTGCAGTGGTGAAGAGCTATGGCTGATGAAAAAAAGGTCAGCAGTTTGAATCCACCAGCTGCTCCTTGGAAACCCTATGGGGCAGTTCTACTTTGTCCTGTAGGGTTGCTATAGGGTCACTCTGAGTTGGGATCAACTCAACGACAACGGGTTTGGTTTTTGGTTAATGTACAGAGAGTTCTTTGCTGTGTGGATTGCCTGCTGAGGTTCAGGGTATTTTACAGCCAGTTTTCATAGCCTTGGCTCTGGTTCAATTCCAATTTAAGAGAACACTTGAAATTCTGTCTCCTCCAGTAGAACGCAAACACTGTAGGAATCTGATGCTTTCCAGAATGATCTGTGCTTGTTATAAGACAATCAAAGACACTTTTTCAGAACAGAACAAAAGGGATTAGTTTCACTTTAGTCTAAATTGTCTAAAGAGGGTTTTCGGTTGTGGATTTGTTAATGGCTTTAGTACAAATAATGGAACTAGAATCGTGCATTTTTATTAGTCACCCAAGAAGCCTTTCAGTGCCAGGTTCTTCCTGAGAGCTCAGTCACTGGGGCTCTTCTTTTAACAGCTTGGGAAATGTCTTGCCATCAGGAAGTTAGTCATTTCACATTCTGACATCTAAAACAATGGGAAGTTAAAAAACCTCGCTCATTACATTTCTAAGTAACAGGATACGTCACTTTAAAGATGAAAAGCTCAAGTATTTGTGGCGCCTTTGTTTGTTCTCCTTAATCCTATTTTCTATTTGAGTGTCAGATGTTTTGTACATACCTGCAGTTGAGTTTAAACAGCCTTGTTGTCTGACTTGGTATAAAACTATGATGGTATATTAGCAGATTTTTGTATGCTGATAATTAGCCTGCCTTCTATGTTTGATGTCCAGATACTGTCTTTGTCATTCGGTTTTAAAACTTAAGACGGCTTTAAACGTAATTGATGCTTGGTTTTGAAAGGGGTGCTGACGTAGGATTCGAGAAACGTCCTTACGGTGTTCATTTTCTGTAGTCTGTTTATCCCTTCTTGTTTTGAATGCCTCAGGCTAGGTCACACACATCCCCTGAGGCTTTTCTTTTCCATTTATTTTCTCCATTTAAGGTTACCGTATTAGGAGTTTAGCTACCAGGAGATTAAAATAAGTACGAATGAAAGCACTTTCTCAAGTCTCCTGCACTGACCCCTACCTCCTTCCTTCCCAGGCTGCTTTGGTGTCCCCACACTACAGGCAGCAGCAAGGCTACCAAGTAGCGTTTCTTAGAAATGCGTCACATTTTTCTGTGTATTCTGGGGGGTGAAAAAAAAAAAAAACAGCGAAGTGTCTCTTTATTTGTATCCACTGAAAAATAAAAGGTAAAATTAGTCATAATAAAGTTTCCCTAGATCACTTTTTAAAGTCCATTGACCTGTGAAATTTTTCTGTACAGTTCACTGAAGCATGATGGTAGGCCTTCGGGTGCTGGTCACGGTGGCGCCCTGCAGGCTCCCTGCCCTGCCTGTCCTGCCCGGGAATGTTGTGCCTGGGCAGAGGGAGAGAGGGTGACCCTCCACACAGTCAGGGCATACACAGGTGGGATCCTGCGAGAATCAGCTCTGGTGCTTTCTGTTTGCAGCTCTCCGAAGTAAAGTGGAGTGAACAGCAGCACCGTGATTTGACGCATTCTGTACGATCGTTGATACAGTGTTGATCATGAGTACGTACCATGGCTAACAGTCAATTTACGTTAAAAAAAAAAAAAAGACAAAATCCTTCTTCATTTTGTCCATAATTACATCTCTTTGAAGTATATTTTTTAATGCTGTTTTATTTCGGTGTCTCCCCCCCACCCCCCAGAAGAAAATAAATACCGTTACATGTAGCTGGCATTCACATTTTGATTTTCTTATTAGAATTCCACAGTAATAATGAACAAAGCCAGGCTTTCTGTAAGAGGTGAACAGCGATGACCACAGTGAGAGAAAACAATGGGTGATGAATACGGCAGAGCGAATAATGGCAGGAGAACCGTCAGAAAGGGGCAAGAACCCTGGTCCACAAAGCCAGCAAAGCCGGGAAGCCTCATTGATGCTCTTCTTAGAGACTAAAAAAACTTGTTAGTTACCGTCCATTCCAACTCATGGCAGCCCCGTGTGTGCAGAGTAGAATTGTTCCATAGGATTTTCAAGGCTGTGACCTTTTGGAAGCAGATTGCCAGACCTGTCTTCCTAGGCACCTCTGGGTGGACTCCAGCCTCCAACATTTTGGCTAGTTGTTGAGCCCTTAAACATCTGCCCCACCCAGGGACAAAAATCTTACTTGACAAATCAATCAGTAGGGGATTTCATGTCAACCCTATCCCTACTCATCCACGTTATATCAGGTGTAAATAAAATTTTTTAAAATGATTAAATGCTAGCGTACTAACGTGCTACACCGTGAGTGTGCTGTGCTGGGGAAGTTTGTCTGGAAATCTAACAGGTCCTCCTAGGAGCGAAGGCGAAGTGGCCAGGGCTAGACATCTCTTTCAGAGAGCTCTCGCTCTTGTGAGGTTTGCTTCCTGTTGGAGCAAGTCCTTCTTCTTTACCCTTAGGGCATGGATACATAAGAAATTCTGAAAATGGGCTAAGAGAACACGCCAGGGAAGGAGCTATATCATCTCACAGGTCATAAAATAATAAAGAATATTAAAAACTTTGTTCTAGGACAAGCACCATTCTGCCAACCATTTCTAATGAATTGATCCCAATTGCTATCCATCAGGTCAAGCACTTTACTGGGAAAAAGCACACTATCTGATACTGAAAAAGAAGAGGTTTTCTGTAGTAACGATTGATTTCCTTTGTCTTAAACAGACTAGAGATGAAGCTCATCTTCCTTTACTGTGTCCTCAAAATAAGTATTAAATATGCATTAAATATTATCTGGTAATAAATTGATCCACACATGTAAGGTGAGGATTTCAAACTTGATTTCAAACTACCAGCATGCCTTTTAAAATTCCGAAAGAAGGCATTTAATAATCAATGATCCTTTCAGGTTTAGAGAACAAAAACTATTCATATAAATATTTGTGAAAGAAGTTTTTAATGTTTTAAAATTAAAATTCCTCTGCATCTGTTTACTTGCCATTTTCATCCATATTGGTTACCATTAAACAAAAATATCGGTCTATGATCGTAAGAAGGAGCCCTAGTGGCACAAACGGGTAAGCGCTTGGCTGCTAACCAGCAAGACTGATGGTTCGAACCTACCCAGCTGCTCCACGGGAGAAAGACCTGGCAATCTGCTTCCATAAAGATTACAGCCAAGAAAAGCCTATGGAGCAGGTGTACTCTGTCACATGGGGTCAATATGAGTTGAAATCGACTCAGCGGCACCTAACACCAGCAACAACATGATCATAGGACTAAATAACAATCGAAATTTAACTTGACTAGAACTATAAATCCTGCCCACCTTAATTAAAACATGATTAAAATAGAACTAATGATAATATCACCTGTTCCCATTGAGTCGATTTTGACTCATAGCGACCCTATATACAGCAGAGTGAAACACTGCCCAGTCCTGTACCATCCTCACAATCGTTGGTATGTTTGAGCCCTTTGTTGCAGCCACTGTGTCAGTCCATCTCGTTGAGGGTCTTCCTCTTTTTCACTGACCCTCTACTTTACCGAGCATGATGTCCCTCTCCAGGGACTGGTGTAACTCATAGATTAGATGTACACCAAAAACAGAACAAAACACACGTCCATGATACTTTGTGCCAACATACTAGTGAACAAATTCATGCGTCATTTTTTTCCTACAGGAAAACTGAAGACTTTAATAACAAACCCTCCAAGATCAAAATGAATACAGGTATGCCATCTCTGTTAGTTATAAAGTCTTCAACCTTGCTCTGTAAAACTTATCCTGGCCCTAAATCATTAGAATAGCACCCTGCTGATCCTAAATGTGATACTGAGTTTCTGTCTAGATCTATTGCCTCGTTTCTTTGTCTTTGTGATCTAGCCTGATAGTCATCAAAAGTAGAATTTTCTCTTTTCTTATCTGCTCTTACTCCCTTTTTCTCTAATCATATTGCAAAAATAATTCCTATAAATCCTAGGAAGTAGTATGTCATTTATATGCATACATTAAATCCCCCACTGAAAACGGGCTAAATTCTAAGGCAACTTGCTCTAATGGAAAATATTTAAAGTGCACCATTCTATCACCTCTTTATGCCAGGGAAATAAGATATAAATAAGTTTTTTTTTTTTTTTAATTATCAAATGTTACCATGCTAATGCACTTGGAAACTTTATGTTTACAAAGTAAGCAGATGGGGTCCCAAAACTTCATAAGAAATCAGTTTCATTAATACATAGTCACAACTCACATAAACTCATAAGGATTATATTTTTAGAAGTGAGAATATCTCCAAATAGCCCAATAATATGAACTCTGTAATTGTAAATGCTTTTGTGATACATGCTATGTTCATAATTTTTTCCCCAGTACAAATATTTTGGCTTATATTTTCACGTTTCTCCCCAGAAATTCTTATATTTAGTATTATGTAAATAAGTAAAACTACTTTCTCCTTGATATTGTGTAAATTGTTTTAAAAATACCACTTCCTATATGTAGAGATCACTGGAAAGTTGTTTTAGCCAATCCCATTATGGCAGAGGAGAAAGGATGGTCCAAGATACTTTCTTACAACAGGATGGTTACCTTTCTGCTGTTTCTTGTTATTCAAGTACTGAGAGGGAGGATTAACAACCAATGGTGAGAACCAGTATCTAATCCCTAGATCAAGTGCAGAGACATGAGCCACTGTCCATCTTTCTGCAGCTTCTCCTTACAGAAACCTGCTGTAAATGGCCTCAGGGAATGCTTATTTTGGCTGGTTCCTGAGGATGCAGAACAGGCAAGATGAGGCTATTGGAGACAGCTAAAAAATAAAAGGAAGGCTTAGAAGTCATGCAAAATTATCACTTTATAAATGAACCAAGTGAAGGCATTTGGACAATTGGAGATGTCCAAAGTAGACCTGGGAATTGAAAGAAGAAATACTATCAGGCAAAAGATATTGAAGAAAGCAAATAGAATGTAGAACCCATGGCTGATCTAGGATATATCAGGTTGTGAAACTGCAGTCACTCCAGCAGAATATTCACTTGAGAAGGTTATATTTACCAATCATTTGAGGCATCTCCCTTCAGACTTAATTAGAACATACCTTCCCAAATATCCATTATTTTCTTGACTGCTTATTTTCATATTTATTATAACCCTATTAGGACAGAGGTATACATATGTGATTATGCTAAATATATTGTATTGGTGTACAACGCATTCAATAATTAATCCTTTTATTCATATAATTCAGTCTCTTATAGCAAAGTAGGCACATAGAAATTTGTAAATCTTTTAAGGTCTCTAGAGTACTTGAGTCCAAGTCATTGCTATAATGACATGAATAAAACCCTCTGAAGCATCTTCTCATTTAGAAGGAGTGAGCTTGACTCTGGATAAATGCAAATCTGCACAGGATTAGTTTGTCTATGGGTGAGTTTAAGCATATGTGGAATTACACACATATTAATATAAAACAATATTCAAATTTATGCATAAGATGTTGATTAGATGTGATTGGAACCCTTCGTTTGAAATTCCAAAATAATACTATAATGTCGCTATGAAAGCGTACTACTTTTAAAAATATATACACCCTCTCCTGTCTTATCGACATGGTTAGGTTCCAAAGACCAGGTCGTTATGTGAAAATCAGCATTATGAGAAAACGGAGGATGACCACATCAGATCACAAAATACAGGATGACTACATCATTACATAACTTCCAAATTACATCATTACGTAACTTCCAAATTATATCATTTCATAACTGCCAAACCACTGATAATCATGGCCCAGCCAAGGGACACATCACCTTAACCATCACGGCCAGCATGACTCTCGTCTTGCACCTCGGTGTTCATTACTCCCAGATGTATGTTGTTAATGCGCAAAGCAGTCGGATAGTAGATATTTTACTAAATGGGAAATGTCAGATAACAAAATAGTCAATAAGGGAGGAGTAGGTATATTAATATTGCTTTAAGAAGACGAAGAGCACACATTGCTGTATGTACAAAAATGAAGAATCATTTCCTAAATATCTAATAAATTAAATTGGGCTTAGTTAGCCACCTATCAGTCAGCAAAGAGATGTATTACTATTTAAATGTCCATGAATCAACCACTAAGTTTAAAAAAAAAGAGAGAGAGAGAGATTCATTTAAATCAGCTCTTTGCTTTTAGTCAAGCCAAGGAAAATGAGGCCTGTTTTTCATCTAAAGTATCTAAACAACCTATAAAAATAAAGGAAGCATGTTGCGTCTCCACTTTTCTTAAAATCTGTGGCCCATTGTCATCTAAGGCAGATCTTAGCTATTCAAGAAAGGAGCCAGAGAAGACATCAGATAATCCGTGCGTGATTCGCCCGTAAGAGTGTTTTCTAGCAGTAAGCACAGTTTCCAGGAGTCTTGCAGCTCTGGAAGCAGGTCCCAAAAGGCCACATGTCATTAATGAATTTTAAGGTGAGAGCAGCACTAGGATTCTTCAGGCTGTATGAAAGGCAGCACTCTCATTTTGAGAAATTTAAAAAATATCCTCAAGAAATAGCAGAAAGTATGGGTATATAGGAGCCCTGGTGGTGTGGTTAAGAGCTCGGCTGCTAACTAAAGGGTCGGCAGTTCAGTGCACCAGCCGCTGCTTGGAAACCCTATGGGGCAGTTGTACTCTGTCCTGTGGGGTCGCGATGAGTCGGAGCCGACTCGACGGCACCTAACAGCATCACCAACATAGGTATGTAAGTAATAGGAACACGATATAATGTAATGTCTTTGTTCCAGCACTTTAACAAATGCCTCAGCTTTTTGAGTTAAGCTCGTTAAAAACCAAACCCGCCACCTTTGAGTTGACTCTGACTCACAGCGACCCCATAGGACAGAGTGGAATTGCCTCATAGGGTCTCCAAGGATAGGGTGGTAGAGTCAGACTGCTGACTTTTTGATTAGCAGCCGAGCCCTTAACCACTGCGCAGCCAGGGCTCCAAGCTCATTACTGAACTGTTAATAAAGGCCAATTCTCCATTTATTTTTATCTATGTCTCAGAATACAGAAATTGTTTACCCCAGAGGTTTCCCAACTTTCGGGATTCACAGTACCCTTTAAGTTTTCAATTTTTCATAGCCCTCCTAAAAAAAAAAAAAAATTGTCATCAAGTCTACTTCAACTCATGGCGACCCCATGTGTTACAGAGTAGAACTGCTCCATAGGGTTTCCTTGGCTGTAGTCTTTATGGAAGCAGATCACCAAGCCTTTCTTCAGCACTGCCACTGAGTAGGTTCAAACTGTCAACCTTTAGATTAGCAGCCAAGTGCAAACTATTTGCATCACCCACCAAAAGAAATACCTAACAGATCTATTTATTAGTAATTAGATGCAAACATCTTAGTAAGTACTTACGTCCTATCAACTTAGTAGCCATTTGACAAAATAATACACATAAAAGAAAACATATTTTTATTTCATTCTTAATAACTACAATTACTTACTAAGGGAATGTGCGTGTCTGCTGGGCAATGCACATCTTCTTAGACTTTGGAATTAGATTGTACATTGGCAGTCCCGTTTACTAGTCCAAAATGATTTTCAGAGGGTATTTGCTCTTAATCACAGCAACTACCAAAAACCTAACCTTTCAAAGATGTGACGTCAGCAAAAGGAATATTGCACAATCCATTATGTTGGAACTGGGAACTGCCTCCAGCTGAGGTCTGTGCAGTGTTAGACAGATACCATTGTTTTCCTCAGAAATGTAAAACACAACCCGACACCCCTGTGAATTCACGTGTGGGGACCTGGGGTTTAACCAGTGACCCTGGATCTCCTTCTTCTGGAATTTTCTCTTTTCATCCCTCTGCTTGTTTTCAGATGTTCGGAATTAAACGAACTAGAAAATAGAATTTCTCTTGAGTGATGTCAACTTTTACTTTCAACACCCTTGACTGCACAACCCTTTTAGACCATCAGTAGCTGCCAGATACCACATAGTCAGTAACACTACCTCCATCTTCCTGGGCATACTCGTCCCTCATAGCTATTTTCAGTTCGCAGAGTTTACTAAAATCTTCTTGGTGCCTCTCGTAAGTGTATCTTCCAGTTCTAAGTTTCTACCATTTGTGTCTTTATCTTTTGGTTCTTAATTATAGTCTTTGATTCATTTGACTTATTTCCTTTTAATGTTATTTCAAGTTATTTTTGTGTTAATTGTTACCCACATTAGGAAATTGTTACATTAAGCATATATTTTAGAAATTGTATTTTGATATGAGAACCATTTTATCAATTTTGAGGTCTATGTACCCTACTATTTGTGATTTTTACCAACAATTTATTCAAATCGTACTTCCAAGAATCTTTACTAATCTAAATTCCCTCATGTCCAAGAAACAAAACAGATACTTCTACCTAAGAAATAGAGAAAAAAAATGGGAATAGCATGTGGCAATATGTAATGACTGTGTTACCATATTGGTGGTTATATTATTTGCCTTTTTTTGTCATGACTTTCAAAAAGAGTTAAATTTTAGTTGTTTTGACTCCAGGGGACAGAGCGAAGCTATTTATTGCACATGCCATATGACGAAGGAATGTGGGAACGCAATAGGAATCCATTCGTAAATAGAACACTGACCTTCCAGTTTTAGAAGTCTTGTTACTCTAAACTTCTCCTAGCACATTAAGGCGGCTTATGCATTTTGCACTTACTTTACTTCATGTCGTGATTTGCATTAAGTGTAAATACATAGATTGTGGTACACATATTGTTCAAATGTATTCAAATTATTTTTTAAATGGTCATTTCAATGTACCACATTTTTCAATGCTGTCTTTGAAATCAATTGGGCCAATTATTTCCATGATTAACAGTAACTGTGGGAAGAGATGACATTTCCATAATGTTGTGTGTTCCTTTATGAATCCTATATGTCAAATGCATTCTGCTTATGTCAGCTAATAACTAACTTTAGGAGTTACTTCAAGCTATCTTAAGGAATCATAATAGCTAGAATATGGGAAAACCTAAACAATCAGTGCAAAAGTATATCATACCATAGCTCTTACTCCTGAAAAACAGAGAATCCATAACTACAAAAGCTAGCTACATGGCTTATAGATTGAATGTGAATCAAATTTAAATGGTGTAAACACAGTTGAGTTCTTTGGGTCTTCATTGAAGAAGAAGCATAAAATGTTAACTGTAAAACCTTCTGCTCTTTTCTTAGAGCACTGGGATCTATTTCTAAGGCAGGCCCTGGTTCTTGCTCTGTTTTGTGTGCTCTGGTTTGGGGGTGGGGGTCCCCCGCGGTTCCTAATTCTGACCGCTCATCTTGCTCGCGGACGTTCGGCACGTTTCCCTGAAACGCGCGATGTACATGTGCTCTCCCCCTCGCCTCCGCCTCTGCTATGTCGTGTTTTTGCTTCCAGATAGCGGTGGGTGTGCTCGCAAACGCGCTGCCATGTCCGTCACGTTAACATCTGTGAAGAGAGTTCAGAGTTCTCCAAACCTCTTGGCTGCAGGTATAACATCACCAACTAGTGGAATGCCACGCGTGAAGGGCTTTATCTGACCTTTCTCTCTTTCTAGAATTATCTTGTCTGGATGATTAAAGTGGTTGTAAATACCTTACTAATGCCCCACAAGGTCTTATTTTTCCCATCCCAATAATAGCTCCTATCCTCTCTGACTGTTTTTGTCCTAAAAATAAAAAGCCAAAAGAAACTGATATCTTGTAGAAAACATTTTAAAAATCTAATTAAAAACAAGTCACCTGCCAAAAGCGTGTTGTGTAATAACTAGTGTTAAAAATATCTAAGTTTTCATTATCTCATGAACTGAAGAAACTTACTGTGTAGTTACAATAACTCGCAGATTCTTTGGCTGTTGTTTTTTACCTAAAAACTGGGGGTGGGGAGGGGGAGATAGGAGGTTAGGAAGAGGGATTTTCAGGAACTCCAATCTTTGTTAATTTTCTTCTTCCTCAAAGGCTGCAAACAGAATGATACTCATTTTGAATGAGACCTTAACCTTCCTTAGTCCAATCAGCAAAGACCTGCGTAATATATATTTTTAAACATATCAAAATCTTGACCAATTTAGGTTAATCCACAGGTATAAATATACTCTATAAAGTAATTTCAGCATCCACTAGGGCGGCTGTCTGTATAGTAAATGTCTGTCATGACTCAGGTTTGCCTAAGCCTGAAGGCAGGGCCTGCATCGTCAGCCCAGTAACCCCAGTGTCTCCAGATCCTGAAATACTCCTAAATCTTTTGGTTGACTGGTTGGTTGGATGGTTGGTTGCTTGGATGGTTGGTTGGTTTGAGAGTTCCTTAGTTTTCATTTATTGTTTTAATGGGGTTTGGGAGCAGAAGCGGGCAAGGGATGGAGAGTATTTACATAATTTTAATTCTCCCTGTGTTTATCACAGTGTCCTTCACACACATACATTCCATGGTTGATGAAATCCTCAGGTGTTCTTGGCTTTAAGGCCACTACCTAGCCTTGCTGGGGAACAAACAAGCATCTGTGTAGAGAATCCCACTCCACCTACCACCTCCAATCTTCAAATGATTTCAATGTCCAAACTTAAATACCAGGCCAGGGGTTTCCCTGAAATATTAAGTAAAACAAATAAGTTGCATTTTAATGTAGGTAGTACCATCTCAATTGGATTAAAAATAATATATATGTATATATATATGCTTTTGCACGTTTTTTCATGAAAAAAAATGTTAGAAAAACTACGATTGTTGTTAACATTGGAAGTCGCAGGGAAACGAGAATGAAGGAAAGGAAAGTAGGAAAGTAAATAGAGTCCAGGGCCGTCATGTGCTTGGAATACCACTGACATTTAAGCAAGCACAGTCCTAGCCTAAACTACTGGGATGTGAACCACTGATGAGCATGCCAGGGAATATGGCGCTGCTTCAACAATGCCTCGTGATTACTGTTCAGAGAAGTAAGCATAGTGTTAGATGGGACCATAAGAGACTACCGTTTTGGAAGGTCAACACTGGCTGAGTAGCAGCAATTTGATATCATTCAACTTAATAGAAAATATTTAATGCTTTGAAATTAAAACAGTAGAAAAGATTTAATACTTCAAGAACGTGAAACGATGTTCAGTAATACGAGTACTTGGTGGCTCTGGACCATTTTAAATATTACATCATAGGAATAGTAAGATTTCTAGAGTATAAAATTAAGCCCCCTGAATTTTGAGTTTAATTGTTATTTAAAAGACAGATCTCTTTTGTATCAATTTGACATGTAAAGTATGATCTGTTTTTCAAAGACGTTTTAACTGTGTTTTGAAGAAAGAAATCAGCTTCTTTTATGCCTAATAGTAACTTTCATTAGAACTTATTTGACATGGTGTCCTAATGACTCAAAATGGAATTAATAACTATTTACTGCAGTAGATGTCATTAGAATAGAGCTGCCTTCATACAGAAGTTAGCCTACCTCCACAAAAGGCTCCCAGCCATGGACGAGACTCATCTGCGAACCTCAGGTGTTCCCTCACGTCCCCCTAAGATCAGAGCGTCATTATGAATTGCCAGTCATCAACCTTTTTCCCCCTAAATCAGACTAGCTTTCTCCTTTTCTTTTTACAATAAGTAAAGTCCCAATAGACAATTCATCTTGACACCACTGATGTTTTAAACCTAAGCTAGAACCCAAACTATGACTACGGGGAAACATAAGCCTTTTTGAAGTACCTTTTATTTCACCAAAAGCACTTGGCTATCTAAGGTAACACTGATAAGGGTAGTATGTTCCAGTGACAACCACTTCTCCAAGAGACAGGTCCTGTCAACACCTCCGGCGTGTTTTATACCCTCGGGTAAATTAGTCTGTCTATTTGAACCTCAACTTGCCTTTCTTTAAAAAAAAGGGGGGTTTTCACTTTCCTACCTCTCTGGGCATTTAATCATTTCCCAAACTCTTAGGGATTTGTAAGAATTAAATGAGAGTAAAGGAAGAACATAAATGAAAAGGCTTATAACAGTGCTTAGAAACACAGTAGGTACTCAATTAGTTGACTTGAATTTAATTAATATGTTTAAATTCATTCTTGTAAAGCTCTTGATCTCTGTAAAGAAAGGAGTTGTAAGAACGAATTAAAATCATCATACTATTCAAGACAAAGTATAGTTTCCAGTGTCAACATAGCCCGTCAGGTAAAAGGAATTTCAATAATGACTGAGAGTAGCTGTGGCAGTTAGGTATCACAAACACAGCCATACAAAAGACATCACATTGAAGCCCTGAAGCTGAAAGGGCATCTGAGGGCATTTAGTCCAGCCCCAGACCCAGAGCTGGAATGCCTTGAACAACTTTCTCTAACAGGTGCCCACCAGCTTCTTCCGGGACACAGGGAGTGCTCATTGTATTAGTAAAGAGCCTTTGTGGTTCTTAATCTGTCTTGATTCTCAAGGACTCTATTTGTATGCACGTGCAAAACAGCCTGAGGGACGATAAGCTTGTCCCATTTATTCATTCTTCAGTTTTCAAAGAACTGTGACTGTCTACTAAACGACAGTAGAAGTTAAGGACTCTAATCTCTAGAATGCTAGCTTTGTGTTTTCACAAGTGAATGATCCCAAATAATATCCAAAAGATTTGGCAAAACCATTTGCCCCATACATCTGCCAAATAATTTACTATTTTTTAAACCTATATCCTCTTAAACCTGTCTGTCAGTTTTTCTTACTATGGTGGCTTGCATGCTGCTATGATGCTGGAAACTATGCCTCCAGCGTTTCAAATAACAGAAGGGTCACCAATGGTCGACAGGTTTCAGCAGAGCTTCCAGACTAAGTCAGACGAGGAAAAAGGACTTGGCAATCTACTTCCAAAAAAAAAATTAGCCAGTGGAAACATTATAGCAGCAGAACATTGATATAGAGTGAGAAGATGAGCCCCTCAGATTGAAAGGCATTCAAAATATGAGTGGGAAAGAGCTGCCTCCTCAAAGTAGAGTCTACCTTAATGACAGGGATGGAGTCAAGCTTTCGGAACCTTTGTTTGCTGATGTGGCATAACTCAACATATAGAAGAAACAGCTGCAAACATCCATTGATAATCAGAATGTGGAATGTACAAAGTATGAATCTAGGAAAATTGGAAGTCGTCAAAATATGAAATGGAACACATAAGGATCGATATCCTAGGCATTAGGGAGCCCTGGTGGCCCAGTGGTTAAGGGCTAGGGCTACTAACCAAAAGGTTGGCAGTTCGAATCTACCAGCCACTCCTTGGAAACCCTATAGGGCAGTTCTGTTCTGTCCTGTAGGGTCGCTATGAGCCGGAATCGACTTGATGGCAATGGGTTAGGGAGCTGAAATGGACTGGTTTTGGCCATTTTGAATTGGATAATCATATGGTTTTCTATGCCAGGAATGACAAATTGAAGGGAAATGGCTTTGCAATTATTATCAAAAAGAATATTTCAAGATCTATCCTTAAGTACAATGCTGTCAGTGATAAAATAATATCCATGCATCTACAAGGAAGACCAGTTAATACGACTGTTATTCAAATTTATGCACCAATCACTAATGCCAAAGATGAAAAAATTGAAGATTTTTACCACCTTCTGCAGTCTGAAACTGATCAAACATGCAATCAAGATGCACTCATAATTACTGGTGATTGGAATGCAAAAGTTGGAAGCAAAGAAGAAGGATCAGTAGTTGTAAAATATGGTCCTAGTGATAGAAACGATGCCGGAGATCCCATGATAGAATTTTACAAGACTAATGACTTATTCGTTGGAAACACATTTTTGCAACAATATAAATGACAACTATACACATAGACCTCACCAAAGAGAATACACAGGAATCAAATCAACTACATCTGTGGAAATAGATGATAGAGGAGCTCAATATCATCAGTCAGAACAAGGTCAGGGGCTGACTGTGGAATAGGCCATCGATTATTCCTATGCAAGCTCAAGTTGAAGCTAAAGAAAATTAAAACAAGTCCAGGACAGCCAAAGTAGTATAACCTTGAGTATATCCCACCTGAATTTAGAGACCATCTCAAGAATACATTTGACGTGTTGAACACTAGTGACCGAAGATGAGACGAGTTGTGGAATGACATCAAGGGCATCATACATGATGAAAGTGAAAGGTCATTGAAAAGATAGGAAAGAAAGAAAAGACTAAAACGGCTGCCAGAAGAGACTCTGAAACTTACTCTTGAACATACATTAGCTAAAGCAAATGGAAGAAATGATAAAGTAAAAGAGCTAAACAGAAGATTTCAAAGGGCAGCTTGAGAACACAAAGTAAAGTATTATAATGAAGTGTGCAAAGACCTGGAGTTAGAAAACCAAAAAAGAAGAACATGCTATGCTCAGCATTTCTCAGGCTGACAGAACTGAAGTAAAAAAGACTTGAGTTGCAATAATGAAGGACTCTATGGGCAAAAAATTGAACAACACAGAAAACAACAAAATAAGGAGGAAGGAATACACAGAGCCACTCTACCAAAAAGAATTGGTTGATATTCAACCATTTTGAGAGGTGGGATATCATCAAGAACCTATGGTACTGAAAGAAGAAGTCCAAGCTACACTGAAGGCATTGGCGAAAAACAAGGCTCCAGGAATAGATGGAATACCAGTTGAGATGCTTCAATAAATGGATGCAACACTGGAAGCATTCACTCATCTATACCAAGAAATTTAGAAGACAGCTACCTGGCCAGCTGACTGGAAGAGATCCATATCTGTGTCCATTGCAAAGAAAGGTAATTCAATGGAATGCAGAAATTGTCAAACAATATCATTAATATCAAATGTAAGCAAATTTTTGCTGAAGATAATTCAAAAACAACTACAGTCGTACATCAACAGGGAAACGCCACGCTGCATTTCAAAGAGGACATGGCATGAGGGTTATCGTTGCTGATGTGAGATGGATCTTGGCTGAAAGCAGAGGCTACCACAAAGATGGTTACCTGTGTTTTATTGACTACACAAAGGCATTTGACTGTGTGGATCATAACTTATGGATAACAATGTGAAGAATGAAAATTCTAAAACCTTAATTGTCCTCATGCAGAGCCTGTACATAGACCAAGAGGCAGTTGTTCGAACACAAGGGGATACTTTGTGGTTAAAATCTGAAAAGACGTGCATCAGGATTGTGTCCTTTCACCATGCTTATTCAATCTGTATGCTGAACAAATAGTTCAAAAAGCTGGTCTATATGAAGAAGAACACAGCATCAATATTGGAGGAAGACTCATTAACAACTTGTAATATGCAGATGACACAACCTTCCTTAGTGAGAATGAAGAGGACATGAAGCATTTACTGATGAATATCAAAGACTACAGCCTTCAGTATGGATTATAGTTCAACATAAAGAAAACAAAAATCCTCCAAACTGGACTAATAGGCAATATGTTGATAAACAAAGAAAATATTGAAGTTGTCAAGGATTTCATTTTACTTGGATCAACAATCAAGAAATCAAATTGCATTGGGCAAATCTGTTGCAAAAGACCCAAGGTGTGCTTGACCCAAACCATGGTAGTTTCAATTGCCTAATACCTATGTGGAAACCCTGGTGGCAGAGTGGTTAAAAGTTCAGCAGTTAACCAAAAGGTTGTCAGTTCAACTCCACCAGCTGCTCCTTGGAAACCATATGGGGCAGTTCTACTCTGTCCTATAATGGTCACTATGAGTCAGAATCGACTCCACGGCAACATATGCATGCCAATCTGGAAAATGAAAAAGCAAGACCGAAGAATTGACACATTTGAATAATGGTGTAAGTGAGGAATATTGAATATGCCATGGACTGCCAGAAGAATGAATGAGTCTATCTTGGAAGAAGTACAGCCAGAATGTTCCTTAGAAATGAGGATGGCCAGACTTCATCTCACTTATTTTGGACATGTTATCAGGAGGGACCGATCTGGAGAAGGACACCATACTTGGTAAAGTAGAGGAAGTAAAAAGTAAAGGAGAGGAAGACCCTCAACGAGATGGATTGATGCGGTTTCTGCAACACTGGGCTCAGGCATAGCAACGTTTGTGAGGACGGTGCAGGACCGGGCAGCGTTTCCTTCCGTTACACATAAGGTCACTGAGTCAGAACCAACACAGCAGCACCTAACGGGGAACAACGACAACATATTCTCGTTACTTGACATGAATCCAGGGTGCTTCCATTGCCTGCTGCAAACCATACTCGTCTGCCCTTCCCTAAGCTTTCCTGGCAGAAATAAAACAAGAACAGGGCTATGGCAGACAGTATCCACAGGGGAAGGTATTTACCCTTCATACCAGTTTCCACTGAGTCAACTCCGTGATGTGTGTTGGACCTCATGTGTGTCAGAGCAGACCTGTGCTATACTGGGTTTTCAATGCTGATTTTTTGGAAGTGGATCACCAGACCTTTCTTTTGAGGCACTTCTGGGTGGAATCAAACCTCCAGCCTTTCAGTTAGCAGCTGAGCATGTTAACTGTTCGCACCACCCAGGGCCTCTGAAGAACTACAATAAAACAGCAAATCAGGACGGAGGGTTTCAAATATCTCTCATTGGATGTTTTAAACTGATATGGAGTGCATTTGAGCACCCTTAGAAGACCACACACTTAAAAGCAGCCTTTAACCATTACTGTAAGCTTCATGAAGACATTGGTGTATTCTGAAGGTGTAATCCAGGCCCATTCTTCTGCTTTCTCTTGGTCCTGCACACTCGTGTAGACAGTGTCCAGAGACACCCTTCAGTGGCGTTCACCATTACTAACATCACGTTTCCTGTAGCACAGATACCATTTCATTTGGAAATCCCTGGGCCCAATATCCAGGGAGTGGCCAGACAGCTGAGCCCAGAGTAGCTGTCCTCTGATTCTCCTAAACCAAAAAAAACTCCACAGCCGTCGAGTCGATTCTCACTCATAGTGACCCCATAGGGCTTCCAAGGCTGTAAATCTTTACAGAAGCAGACTGCCACATCTTTCACATATTAATGTTTATTGTTGTTCCATAATCCCTAGTGTGGCCACTAACAAGAAGGAAGGGAGCAGGCCCTCTAAGAACTATCAGAGGAAGTTTATCTCAAGTATCCTTCAAATCTTCTCAATATACTGTCGTGTTCCTTCCAACATCCACAGTCCTTGAACCTCCAAGCATCTGGTGTCCTGCACATACACGCACACCGTTTCATCAACCAAGAACAAGATAACCTCCTAGTTCACAGGCAAATAATTACAGTATAAATAATAATTATTGTTGATGCTGCTTTCTTTTTCATTTCCATTACCCCAATTCTCAAAATTTGCTCTTTGTCCACTAATGGTACATAGTCCACTAATTGTGAATAAGTGACTCCAGGGTCCTTTCCAAAGCTAAGGCTTTGTGATTTGAGGTGAAGATGACCATGTGATGTGATAGAATCAAGCAATACAAATTGATTTCCTCACAATGTGCATAAGTGGATTCTTGAATGTTTAATTCCAGTGAAACTGGTTGTAGATATTTTACTGAACCACTTTCCAAGTACATTGTCAAAAGCAATTTATTAGTACTGAAATTTATCTTCTAGAGCTTACTAGCTATAAGGCAATGGAATATATCGTATCAGCTCTTTCAAATTTAAACATAAAATTATTTTAATGGAATAAGAAGAAAACTCAAATTAGTAAACGGTTTGAAAATATTACACAATATGGTAAAAGCGTTTGCACCTTCCTAAAGCAAAAATAAATAAACTACAAAAAGTTTAATGTCCACCTAACGCAGGAGTTGAATGTGATCAGTAAGAGCAGGCATCGAAAACTCAAGAACTAGTGGTTTGAGTTAATGCTAGGAGAAACATTCCTTCTTTCTGACTAGATCCCTTTTAATCCTTTAATTTGATATTTAGAAATTCATATACCCAGCTTGGGCAATAATAAGATGAAAATTACAAGGTTGCATTATTATTGAGGGGAAAAAAATCAGTGCATAATATATGAGTGTTAATTATATATTATAGATATTTGCATGAATGATACTCTAATTGATGTAAAGATAAATGCACAGACCTCTCATTAGCATATTTGGAATACCCAGAGTTTTAGAAGTGAGATAAGTTTACAAAAAAAATACATACAGTTTTTTGTCAAATGATTTTTACTAGATTGTTCATGTATTTTACCCTACTATTAATTTCAACATTTCTTTTTTCTTTTAGGGCGTGATTCTCATTCACCAGACTCAGGTACGGAAAAGCTGTTCCAAATCTCTAATACATTTTTGTGGGGTTTTTAAAAAACATATTCTTAACCACATTGTTGACCTCACATGAAAGTTAGAATTCCTATTTAGTTAAGCGTATTAAATTAAGTGTCTAGAAATGAAACTTCAATTTTGTAAATAAAAATAAATTTTATTTAAAGTCTTATAAGTGAATGTAGATATTTTTGTGTCCAACTTGTTTTCCCTTAATAAAAGCTTGGAGATCTTACAATGATCGAAACCAAGGGACACTGAACGGAGATGCAACGTATTCCTCTCTTGCAGCAAAAGGTTTTAGAAGCGTTCGCCCAAACCTACAAGAAAAAAGATCACCAATTCAGGTAATCCTGCACACTGTTGTCTACTGTGTTATTTTAAAGCTTAATTAGACCACTGCTTTAGCTTTTCTTTGCTAGTCACGTGTGCACACTTTGATACTTTTTACTTTTAATAAATCTCTGCTTTTGTTTTTGTTTTGCTGGCCAAAGTTGTATTTACAACATTGAGGACAAATTTTAATTTAAAAAAGTTTTCTTTTTACTGATTGATTAATCTCATGAAACTAGGTCAGTTTCTAACATAATGCTTAGCCCTATATATGCCTTAAGGTTTAAAAATATGCCAAGAGAACAGGTGTTCACTCATTAAAATGATTTCCTATAATGAAGATGGATACAGACTTTATAATATATTCTTTATAAAAAGGTGTTTTTTTTTTTTTTTCTGATGGCAACTGTTGATGATAAATTAAAATGTATCCTAAAAGAAATGAAAACTGATCATTCCATCTAGCCAACAAAGTGTGTAGCATAGTGAAAAGGTATGAAAGTTAGGATGTTGCTTCACCTTCTTTATGGGCAAGGTTGACACTGGTTTCTTGAACGACTAATGTTGACTTTCTCTCTGTTTTTTCCTTCAACATTATTTCTTCCTCCGGATGCTTTTGGCAATCCAGGCAACCCTTCCACCCCCCAGGAAAGAGAGTTTTTGTAACTCCTTGATAACCAATCACACAAAGGGTGACATTTTCGACCAATCAGTAACTAACATACAAACGCCCTCTTACACAGAGTACTTTACTAATCAAAAACCTGTGCCGACAACTATGTATTCTAATGAAGATTCCAACCAGACAATTGTATATTCTGAAGAATCTAACACAACTGTGTCATATACACAAAAAATCACTAATCCACTTCCAGCAGCTTCCAGCACAGGTCCCCCACCATTTGCTGACCTCAGTAACCCATTTCTACAAGAGGACTACGTGCAAGATTCTCAGACTCGTAGAATTTCCACCTTGAAACTAACCCATAGCCAGGATCTAGCCAGTGGCAGCCCCTTGAATACACCACAGCTTTCCAAATCTGCTGAATTGCCATCATTCCCCAAAAGGCCTTTCTCACCGCCCCCTAACACGGTGCCTGAGACACACACAGCATCTCTTTCCATTCAGATAGCTCCCCTTTCAGGACAGAATTCTGAGAGCCACAAACAGCTACCTGAGCTTTCTCCAGAGACTACAAAGATACCTCTTCAGCAAGAGAGACAAAAATCTGCAGTTGCTGCAGCCTCGCAGCCCTCCGACGGCCGGGTGGTACTTTCCACTTTCCAGTCTCTTCTTACAGGCCTGTTGGAGGGACCCTAACTAACAACTTTGGTTTGGGCTTCTCACATAACTGAATGCTTTGTTACAGTTTGGAAGCAGGAAAGGAAAGGAGAAAGAAACCATCTTCCAATTCAAAGCCCTGCTAAATTCACTCCTAAACTTGGAGTTGTTTTTTTTTTTTTTGAAAAACATGCATACACAGAACTTTTATCTAGAAATCATCTTTAAAATGTTTCCTACTTCCTAGACATTTAGAAGCAAATCGTTGGCGGGTCAGCTGTCACTTACGGCACTGCAAACCACTTCAGGGCTTAAAATACTTCGAGGTTTTAAAGCATGATTTTCCTGCCAGACCTTTTGGTACCTACATTCACTTCATTTACATGTCTAGAACCTCAAAATAATGGTCAGTTATAGTTCTTTTAGGCACAAAACATTTATCTTCAAGCATTGTTTATTCTTTTGTAGCTCGATATTCATTTTCACTGAAACTTAATCAATTTCTACCTTTTGTTTAATCTGACGTTTCAGAAATCATATTAATCAACCTTTAATACACTGACCGTTGGGACGTAAACCTTTATTTCCACATATGTAAAGTTCTGTCATAGTATAAGTCTTCTAACATTTATTAATCTGTTCCAAAGAAGAGAAATGTGTTCCCTTCTCAGCTCCCCCACAAAATAATATTGTGTGAAGAGCATGAGTTTCAAGGACAAATTGTGGATTTCCAGGCAAGCGTCGTCACTGCCAATGTGACGGGCCGCTGTCTGAGTTGTCTGTGAGCCTGAGCTACAGAATGGGCATATTAATCCTTAATTCATAGGCTGGGGCAGCATTAGGGGGATAGCGGAGAAAAATCACTTAGCGCAGAGCAAGCACGCAATAAATGGTAACTGTTCATACAAGATTGATACCAGCAGCAAGAGCAGGTGTGGTCATACTGGAAACACCGCTGCCTGTTTTCTATATGCTGTTTCCTGTAGTTGTGTGGTTGAAGCTCATCCAAAGCGCACTCTAGAAGAGATATAGTTTTAAACCTTGTGGAAAATCTTCGGCAGATATCTGACACTAAACACCCCCTCCACACACACAGGCACGCGGGCGTGCACACACACACACACACGCGCACACACACACACACAAAGCAAAAACTTTAAGCCTAGAAGATAAAAAGGCGAGTGGGTAGGAGAAGTCACAGAAAACATCACCTCATTCACAACTCAGTTCGCTCATCAGACGTGATTTCTTGTGTTTGGTTTTATCATCTTTGAAAACATAAGTTGATAACTTTCCTTGTAGTCCATTTTGTCACTATCCAGGCTGACCAGAGACAGCTGGTTTAGATGTGCAAACCCCAGACAGTCTGCATGATTCAGAAGATAAGATTTGAGCCCCTGTCACTTTCACGCATTCAGCAAACATCTATTGGGCATCTACTATATGCCAAGTACTGTTGTAGTCACAGAGCTGAATTTGAAATCAATGAGACTTAAAATTTTGTAGTGGCGGGGTGGGGTGGGGAGAAAAACATTAAAAAAAAATTAAGTAAATCGCATCCTTTACCAACAGCAACAACAGAAGGAGCTGTGCCTGTGGAGATAAAACCAGGCAGTCCTAGCAGGGACATGGGGAGCAGTTTCCATTCTGAATAAGGTAGTCAAGTAGACCTCACTGAAAGACAGGACAGCTTTGGAATATGGAAGAACATTCTAGGCAAATGAAAAAGGCTGGTTCAAAGGCTTTTAAATCTGAAGCATGTGGGTGCTGTTCAGGACCACCGAGGAAACCACAGGAGGGACAAGAAGAACCCAAGGTAAAGAGTAACAGGAGGTGGAGTCAGAGGTGGCAGACATCAGAACACAGAAGTCCCTGAGAGCCACTGCAGAGATTCCAGCTTGTCCCAGTGAAAAGGGCGTCCTCGGAGGCTTGCTGCTTGACTTATCTTCTGACAGATCACTGGCAGCTGAATTGAGAACAAACAATAGTGGGTCCAGGAGGAGAGCAGGCAAACCAGTCAGGTTGCTATTGTGATAATTCAGGGGGGAGATGACAGTGGTTTGAAGCAGTGTGGAAGCAGTGGAGGTGGTGAGAACTGGTCTGAATGTAATGCGAAAGTAGGGCAGATAGGACTTCCTGACAGATCGCTTGTAGGATGTGAGGGGAGGAGAATAGTCAAGGTTGATCCAGTCTGCAGTTGGGAGGGACAGAACTGCCATCAGCTAAGACTGGACAACTGAGGGTAGAGCAGGTTTGGGCGAAGATCACCGGTTGCATTTAGGACATGCCAAGTTGAGATAGGAGTCCCTGGGTGACGAAAATGGTGAAGCGCATGACTAGTAGCCGAAAAGTAGATGGTTCAGCCCACCCAGAGATGCCTCGGAAGACAGGCCTGGCAATCTTCTTCTCTAAGGCCACAGCCCTGAAAACCCTATGGAGCAATTCCACTCTGCATACACGGGGTGGCCATGAGTAGGAATAGACTCAACAGCAGTTAACAACAACAAGGTCTAGATGTCTACAGACAACCATGTGGAGAGGTTGAGTAGACAGTTGGGTATATGAGTCTGGAGCTCAGGAGCAAAGTCTGGTTTGGAGATATGTGTTTGGAGCCATCAGCTTGTAGATGATTTTTGTAGCCACAACAAGTGAGATCATGAGGAAAGTGAATACAGAGAAAAGAGGAAGCCCGAGGACCGAGCCCTGGTGCTTCTCAACCTTAAGAAGAGGAACTAGAAAAGGAGAAAGGAGCATCTGCTAAGGGAGGAGGAAATCCAGGAAAATGCTGTGTTCTAGTCGCCAAGTGGAGCCCCGTTGGTCAGCAGCTCGAATCCACCAGCTGCTCCTTGGAAACCCTATGGGGCAGTTCTACTCTGTCCTGTAGGGTCGCTATGAGTCAGAATCGACTTGATGGGAATGGGTTTGGTTTGGGTTTGATAATGCCAAGTGAGGAAAGTGTATCAAAGAGAAGAGATGGTCAACTGTGAAAATACTGCTGATAGGGCAAGAGTAAGATGGATCTCAGACTGACTTTTAGTAATATGGAGGTCATGGTGATTTCTTAAATGTTGGGGGTGGAGGGGTGCTCTCTTGGGGTGAGTTTAAGAGAGGCTGGAAGGAGAGCAATTGGACAGTGAGTTCTTTCAAGGTGTTATTAGCATAAAACCTTCCATCTATCTAGTTATTCACTGTCCCTGAGTCTCAGTTCCTTCATCTGTAAAGTGGAGATGGAAATAGCATTCATCACAGAGTTGCTATGAGATTTGAATAAGATAATGCATATGAGGAGCTTGTTGGCAGAGTTCCTGCTACAGAGTACTCACTCAATAGATGGCAGCTATTATTATTTTAAAATAATATCCTTTTCTAGATAAAGTATCTGATTGGAAAAGGGAAACATTATTTATTATATTATGTGTATATATTATATAATGCTGACTTTTCATGTACTGGTGACCTTTCCGTTTTACATACTGAAGTTCCACACTCTAGCAGGAAAGTTAGTAAATGCCAAGAGCTATAACGACACACTATGAAACAGCCCCATACAAGATAAAGATGAAGAACTAGCCTCCCAAGAAATTAGCAGACCCAAGAAACAAAAATTCTATACATTGAGAAGTCAAAAGGAAATATCAGTGTTCTAGAAGTTTCATCTGCTTATTTTTTGTTGCTGTTAAGGTCTGACCATTAATTTAAATAAAAAGAAAACTGCAGCCTACTGTTAGGGAT